CCCCCCGCCAAATTCCGTTCGCACATTACACTCTTACACACACACACGCATGCTCACTCTCTCACACACGCGCGCGCGCGCCCGGGCCACTCCATTATAATTAAAATCTCGAGAACGGAAACCGGAGAAATAGAGTTAAAGTTTATTTTCCCGAACGCTCAGAGAAATAGAGCGGGCATAAATTGATTTACTTTTACGAACAAAATTGCACACACAGAACTGAGGATTCGAAGTCTTGAAAAACTTTAAAGCCACCTGAACATTAGGCCTACTGAATACTGACAAAAGTCAACAACAAAGCCAAAGTTTGAATGGGGCTGCGGGTAGAGAAACTAAATCAGGGTCAGGGTCAGGGTCGTAGATTCTAGATCTATGGATGCTTTTTCGGTAGTTCCCACCCCGCAATTGTTATTCACAGGTTTTGGCCCCAAGAGTAGGGGGGTTTCAGGGGGCATGATTTTACCATAATTTGATGTTTGCAGTTAGGTAGCGTCAATTGCCACCGAGTGAAGCGGTGTCAAGTCTGAAAACAACACTATCTTTAGCTTTCTATTCATTATAATGTGCGTCTAATGGGTCAATTTGTTTTCTACAAGGGATCTAATTTCATTGGACGAGCATCTAGTCTAGAGCTACGGTACAGTACCAACTTGGCGAGTTTTCAATGAGACGTAGGTCTAGATCTAGGCTAGCCTTAGCCTACACGTAGAACCAACACGGGCAATTCTAGAATTAGAAGGTCACAAATGCACACAAACTCTTGAAAGCAGAAATTCTGTTTAAATCGGGGAACGGGAGTCAGGAAAATACACACACACACAGAGGGACAGAAAGGTGAATGCACAACACCGAGCACTCGAGCACAAGGCTAGATCTACTCACCAACGCAAAAGAGCTCAAATTTACTCGGTGGCAATTGACACTAGATCTACCTTGCTGCAGTTATTAGGTTGGTAGTAGTGTCAATTGCCACCGAGTGACACGGTGGCAATTGACCAAAATTGACTTTTTGTCAATTGCCACAGAGTAAATTGGAGTTCTTTTGCGTTGGTGGGTAGATAGATTTAGCTTATTATTGTGCTCGAGTGCTCGGTGTTGTGCGTTCGACTCTCTGTTCCTCTCTCTCTCTCTCTCTGTGTTTTCCTGACCCCTGTCCCCCGATTTATGTTCCCCGATATAACGTGAATTTCTGCTTGAGTTTGTGTGCGTTTGTAACCTTCTACTTCTAGAATTGCCTGTGTTGGTTCTACACCAAAGTGTAGGCTTAGGCTAGCCTAGATCTAGGCCTACTTCTCATTGAAATCACGCCAAGTTGGTACCGTAGCTCTAGACTAGATGCTCGCCCAATGAAATTAGTTGAGAACAAATTGATCCATTAGACACAAATTATGACGTATAATGCTAAAGATAATGTTTTCAGACTTGACACCGCTTCACTCGGTGGTAATTGACAAAACGAAGTGTATACAGATCCGGTAACCGGGAACAAAGTCACGAAGTATACAGACCCGGTAGGGGAACTCTTTTGTGATTTCGGAAAGTTTTAGCGCCCAGATCCGGTAGAATGTGTGAGTGTGTGAGCGAGAGAGAGAGAGAGAGAGAGAGAGAGAGAGAGAGAGAGAGAGAGAGAGAGAGAGAAGTGCTAGTAAAATATATGACATGCCCCATTTGGCAGAAGGGAACGAGAGAAAGATAGAGTGGGAAATAGGTGGGGAGAAAGAAAGACAGAGACAAACAAAGAAAAAGAGAATGCGAGCGAT